TATATATAATATATATATATATATATATATATAAAATCAGATTTAGGTAAAGAAATTTATTTAATACAAATAAAAAAAAATTTCTAAAAATAGAATTTGAAGAATGGAAATATTTAAGATCTTTGATAAAAATGTCTATGCTTGTAGTGCATCAGTCACATTACATTCGCGTGACCACGTTTTGATCAAGTGACATCATTTGTCCCCTTACACACTTTGTCCTCTACATCACATTATGTAATACATAAGTTTTTTGAGGTCAACTTTCAGGCTCAAGGGGTCAATCATGTAACTTTACGTGAAATTTTTCACTTTTCATTTTTCACTTTTTACTTTTCATTTTTTACATTTGACATTTCACGTGAAACTTTTCACGTACAGCGATTATGTATGTAGTTTGGATGCGTGGAAAGTGAAATCATGAAACATAGTTTCATAGTATTTTATAAGTTTTATAATGAAAATTATTTTATTGGTACAGTATTATATACATCTTTTAATAACCAATTGTATATGTATTACGTACACTTAATCCTAACGCGGCCCTAACCTTGTCTAATTCCGAAGCATATTTATTAATTCCCTAGATTTCCGCCTTTCCGCCATCAAGGTACATGGCGAAAAAGTTCACGTGAAAAATTTCACATTTTCACGTTTGAGAGAGTTACATGATCCTTCAAAGTACACGATCGTAAGTTCACATGAAACTTTTCACTTTTCACGTTTCCCTAGGGGAAAAGTTACATGATCGATTCCCAATAAATAGAGGCGTTAGCGGTCTAGTGTACAATATAAATGTCTATGGTTACGCCGCATCCTTACGTTGTCGTTGCGCAGGTATAATATATAGGAAAAAAGCTGCGTACCTAAAAAAGCGATATATCTAGCTAGCTAGTGGAACTGTCGTTAAGAAATTAGAGAAAAGGCCTACAGGTTTCTTAACTCTAAATAACGCAAACTTTAACGATTAATATCTCGGTTTGCGGGGCAGAGCGACGCTTTTTCCTGCCAGATTTTTTCGTTTTGTGCAAAAACGCGTCGAATGAACCTATTTTTATCAAAATCGGAGGTGGGGGACCTAAACTGAACATTTACCGACACTTTTGAATTGACACTCAAATTGACCTTAAACCGCGATCGCGAATCGGAATAGGGAGCAGCGAGTACTTCCTGTTCCCGTGCGCGCCACACCGTGTGCAATGCAAATATGGCGGGCGTTACTTGGCTTTCGTATCGTTTCGCGAACAAGCGGCGATAGAAAAGAGGAAGTGTGACGTATTCGCGTGCTGTTTCACAATCTCACGGTTCTCCCGATGCATCTCGCGTTCTCGCGCGCGAGTGTACTCCGTTTTATGGCTCCTGTCTACTACTCGCGGAAATATAACCCGCGGAAAATATAGCCGGGAACAACGAGCCGACTCGAGGCGACCGGCGAAAACGTTCGCTTACAGTGATATAAGCAAATGTGATATCTCGTACATGCGACGCAGATATTCCCGATCGAAGATTTGCTTACGCCACGTCACGCATGTTAAGTATCGGTGAGTTTTGCGTGGATTAATTCGCGGATTTTTTGCCGGCTCGTTCCACTTTGAGAATCGTTCCCGCCGTAACCTTTCGTCGCCATTGTAAACACCGCTATGTGCATGCGGAATTCATTCCAATTGCCGGGAATATATGTATCTACGTGGAAAATATACAGCTCGCTCTGTCTCTTTAACACGATACGTGCTGCGTCAATTTTTTGCAATTCATTCACGCAACAATTTTTATTAAATAAAATTTTGTAATGATCAAAATTAAAAGAGATTTTCTATAAAATGCAGAATAAAGCAACTACTTTTATGAGACATTTGTTTAAATAATATTTAATGCAAATATTTATTAATAATTAATGAAAAATGCGTTTCAATCCGCAATTCTTCAATCTTCAATTATAAATTAATTGTAAAAAAAAATTTGGCGCGTTATGTTTAATTTTCAAATTTTCGTTTGCCATTTTTCAAGAACTATATTTTTGTTAATTTAATAACAATACTTGTCTTCTTTACAATTTTATATTTTTGTAAATTTTATGTGTATATCGATACATTTTATTTTCAGAGCTTTTGCCATAATTCAATTATGTCTAATCCAAAGGAAGTAGAAACTTCTGTGCAAGGTACACAAAAAACCTATTCTGAAAGTGCTAATGAAAACTCCAAAGTTAACGAAACTCAAAATACGAGCTTGAATGAGAGTCAGGATTTTCGACTTGTCGATTACGAAGGAGAAGAGAGCATGATGGAAAGGGCCAGGGAGACACAGGATGGAGAAGATGATTCTCAAAAATCGATTGAGCCATTAGATTCGCAGCAGAGTCCAGAAGCACAATTGCAGATATATGATAATACGATAACTGTAAATAATAAAGGGGATGAGATTATTATAGATAAAGGATTAGAAAACGAGGCTGAAAAGACTGAAGAGGATGTATCTGACGAGTTACGTGAATCAGAAAAAAAAGAGCTTTTTGATGAAGATCTTGACATTATTCAAGGTACACCTCCTCAGAATTATTTACTATCTAAAAAAGTAGTAAGTAATATTGATGTTCCCAGTCTGAAACGTAAAGCTGAGATTATCGATGAACCGCCTACCAAAATCTCTAAAATTATGCCAGCGGAAGATATGATGAATGTTGAGAAACAATTTGAGGAGGAAGAAGAAGAAAGTCATCAATCTGATGATTCATATCAGGACTTATTTAAGAATAAGGATAAAAACGTTACAATAGAGGAGACTCAGGACCCAACTAATCTAGAATTGACTCAAAACTCTTTGAGAGATTCCATCGAACATGCAGCGGAAACGATGGTTGATGAAAAGACACGGGAATTTTCTTCCAAACAGATAAATCAAGATAATGTTGACAAGGATAAAGACGAAAATTTAAACGTTTCCGAGAAACTATCTGATACCAGTGTCAACGACAGTACGACAGTGGTCAATTATTCCAACAAAAGCGATGACTCGTTGCTCGAAGATAACAATTTGGTGACCAAAACGAGAGGGGAAATTAGTTCTACAAATGTTGTAATAGCCGACGAGAAATCTGGGATTGGAACATCAGATGAGATGAATGCATCTGCGAAAGATGCAGAAACGATATCTGCTGAAAATAATCAAATCAAGCAGTCGAATTGTGAGAAGCCTTCTGGGAATATTGTCGACAACAAGCAAGAGATCTCATCTTCTCAGGTCAAATTGCGACCCAGTGTGGAATTTATATACGAAAATATGAAACGGACTGCTGGCGATGACGAGAATAGATCAAAACCACAAGTGGTGCAGATCGACGACGATGGTGAGAAGATCGTACTGGACTCATCGACTGAGTTGTCATTTGATCGTCAGCATATCAAAACCAAGCCGGAAGTTGTTCAGATCGATGACTCACACGAGGGCAAGAAAATCGTCGTAGACTTAGATGACAGTTCCAAGGTTCAGACTACAGATAAAAGCAGTTACGAGAGCAGAAGTGGCACCGACTTCAGCTACAAATCCGCAGAAAGTATGAAGGAATCATCTCTAGACTCAAAAATGACGATGGATAAGAGGCTGGTGAATGGCAGTACCGATTCCAAGAGAAGCGACACTGATGCGACTCTTAGCTTGGATTCGGATACCTTCTCCGGATGTGACGAGCAGATTCCTATTACAACGCTGAAAGATAGTAATGTTGTCACGCATAACATAAAGAAGTTGAGTAATAGCAAAGGTAATTCTTTTATCTCCAAGAATATAGACAATATCGAGCTCATCAGTATAAGCGATAACGAGACATCCAACGTCGAGGAGAAGATCAAGTCCGATCTGACCCACAATAATCTGGCAAAGACTATACAGGTGAGCAGCAAATAGGTACTCGCTTTAATTCTATTTTAATATATAAAGGATGACTTGTATGATAAATTATAAGCACTAAAAATTTATTGTAAAATGTTCATATATGACAAAAAAATCATTCACAGGTGGAACGAGAAATGAAGATGTACCTGAAGTTCAAATACGTAGTGAACATAGATGAGAATACGAAGGAAATCGCAAGCAAGGAATTAACTACAGTTCAATGCCACCCCGAGTCCATGTTTATGATGGACAGGCAGAAAAACGATGACAGTCAGTCATCGTTGGCGGACATTTCCGATAACAAGGAATCGTCGCCCGGTTCTGTCAACAGCAATCCCCAGTTGTATCCATTGAATCCATCTCGGCTGTCCACCATGTCGTCGTTTAGTTCCAGCTCGGCATCCAGCGCTGCTTCTCTGGCTACAAGACTTGCTTTGAAAAACGTGCATTTCTCAATACCGTCGCTCCCGGTGAAGCATGCAAAGAAACAGGACATTCCGACACCAATAGAAAAGCAGATGTTAGACGAGACTTACGATCGTTTGACACGCGAATGGAAGAATTACCGCCTGCTCACCACGACGATTTTAAATTATGCAAACGTAGAACTGAATAGCACCGTACCTACAACAATATCCACAACTATCAGAACAGCTTCACCTAGCAGCACCTTCGTTAACGTGAGCAACGAACGGCTAGATGATCCTCACTTGGAAAAGAACATGCGCTCGTCGACACCGTCGGATCAGATTACGAAAGATTCGAAGATTGAGTTAACCATCACGCCAAAGAGTACAAAAAAAGGTAGGGTTCTAAAAAAACCGAGAAGCAAACTGGAGAAGTCAAACGTTACGCAGAGTAACGGCGAGAACGGCGCTGGTGATATTTCGAATGAGCCGAGTTCACGCATTTCCGTTACGGAGACGGACGCATTGGCCAGCGTGAAGAAGAGCAAGCTAGAAAGTGTCGAGAACAACTTGTTAACCGACATAAATGTTCTAGCGAATTCATCGCCGCGAAATATGCTGCCTGACGAATTGATTGGCAAGATAGCATTTGCCAAATGGTCGGACAATAATTACTATCCTGGCACGGTGATCGATCGGCAGAAGACCAAATACAAAGTAAACTTCTTCGACGGTAAGAGCAAAACGCTTATACCTGAGTTTGTGATACCGATACCAAAGATTCTGAGGGAGGGCCTATCCGTATATGCAACCACAAAAACCAATGGCTATGGTTCTTGCGGAATTATTGTCAATGTTCATACGTCGGGCAACGACGACACGTACTACACGGTAGAAACTGATGAAGGTGAACGATTGCGTGTACAAATACAGAACATTTCCCTGTCTGCCGATCAGGCACAAGTGCTCAAGGAGGAGGTGGACTCAGCGGATAAGAACTCTTTGCCGAGCACGCCGAAAGCACTCGGTCAAGTAACTTTGGACAACATGGTTGACGGCAAGCGACGTTCTAAGAGAATCGGCACGCCACTCTTCTCGACACCCAAGTCCAAGACCAATGCCACCGGGCCGGGCACTTCCGCCAGTAAAATCAAATCAGAACCCTCGGTATCCGGTATATCTACTAAACTGAAGAAAGAAAAGGACGCGATATCAGAGAACGAGAGTGTATCGAGTGACTCGAACGTCGAATTTCAGTCGCAGGATTGGTACATTTTGAAGGGTGTGCAGAAAGAGATAGTCGGCACGCCGTACGAGCAGATTGTAAAAGGACCACAGAGTAAAGTTAAGAGCAAGCCGCGTAGTAAGAAGAAAGTGGAGGACCCGCAGATGGTCGAGACTCTTGGTCCAATCCCATTAAACTCCAACATCTTCAAGGGCATGTCATTTATTCTTACTTGTGCATCCTTAGAAGCTCTGGACAGGTACCTTTTTCTCTTGTTATTTATCGATTTATTTAACAATTGAACAAGGCAACATCAATGATTAAGAAAAAGTCCTAGAGGAAGAAATTATTAGCAAATTCAGTCAATATAAAACGTGTTAACAATAGAACTGGAATTAATATGTAAATATTGAATTATGAAAGAATAAATATTAAATAGTTTTAATATTTAAGAATTAATGTTTAAATATTTAAAAGCAAATTGTTATTTGCCGTTTTTTCATATTCAGGTTTTCTACATTGATACTAATTGATCCTCCACTGTTTCAGATATCAAGATCTATCAGGACTCACTCTATCAGGCACAGAGACAGAAACGGATGTGGAAACCGAAAACGAGGATGATTGGGACGACCGTCCATTCGTGCGAGACAGATTGCACGCGCAGATTTTGGCGGGGGGCGGCAAGATTTATGAGAATTTCGAAAAAATACCAAAGGATGAATATGTAGATACGAAGCTCATCACAAACGTGCCGAACACTACAGAAAAATATATATTATGTTTATCAGTCGGAATCTCTGTGTGCAATCACAAATGGATTATTAGATGTTGTACAGAGGTAATACACGTGACATCTCTCTTGTTCTATATTAATTATATTCTTTAAAATTATTTTTAATGTTTCCAATATTTCCATTTATATTATATTATAAAGTCTGTTCCCGATCGAAATTCCCGAAATGGGACATCGCTATACAAACGAATATTTTTCAATTCGAATATAGTAATATCTCATTTCAGACTTTGTAATAAATAGAAATATACACAGATAAAATTTTATTTATTATCATACTTGTAATAATATGGTCCAATTACCTATTGTGTCTCACATTTGATATTTTTAGGGAAAAATTGTGAATGTAGCCGAACATGTGCTTCCAACTGGTTGGAGTTTGCAGAAAAGAGGCTACGTAGAAAAATTCGAAATGAGCAGAAGTAAACCATTAGAAGAGATTGTCGTGATAATTCCTAGTCTATCATATGATAGACAATTTGCTACATTCTGGCAGCAGGTTTGTGAGAACGCGGGTGCGGCAGTTTTGATCGCGGAAGACTCAGGTATTTAATTTTATCGTTATATAGTTTCTTGAGAGCAAATTTAATTTTAAATAAATATATAATAATATACATATATTAAAATAAAGCAAAAATAAATATTCTATTAAAATTTATAAAGCTTGATATATAAATTACTTCATATCTATGCTATTTCAAATAAATTATTTAATCATGAGCTATGAAATTGTATGATATTTTTCAGAGGCCATGGAAACGATGGACTTCGCCAGTAATATAATGGTCGTGTCCAATTGCAGATGCCCGTCATGGGCAGTGAATAGAGCCGCTCGTCAACAAATTCCATTACTTTCTACTACGTGGGTGATTCAATGCATAATCGAGGGCAGATTGTGTCCGCCAGACCAGCATCCACGTTATAAATATAATTACATAATAAGATAAGAACTTTCGTTAATTAGAAAGCCAATGTTTTATATAATCGTGAGTATCGTCTATAATCAATGTGACTTTTAGAAGACTTCTGTTTTCCACATCTTTTTCAAATTTTGCTTACCTCTATGTCATTTCGCGTAAGACAAAAGAATAACTTTACAACATAAAGGATATTTTTCAATTGTGAGTCATAAAATTTTTCAATTCCATTTTTCGTAACGCTTTTCTTTTTACTATATTTTTTACTTTTTTTATTTGCTAAGAAGAAAATGTCTCGTTTCTATTTTTCTAGACAGATTTCCGAGTTTTTCTTTTACATTTACACGTTCTACATAATGATTAATGATGGTTTATGCATTTTGATATGGTGATTTGTCTTCGTGCGGCCGCAACGTGTAAGCAATGGACGTCATTTTGCGTTTCGCTTCTCGCATGAGAACACGTGCGCAACGATTTACATTTTTGTAAAATTTGTATAATAAAAATGGACGCGCGTACATGAGTACTATGAATACTTATACATAATACGCAATTAATTTTATACACGATACGCGAATCGTTATTGTGTGTAAAGCAATATCTCTTCGTATCTTCGTGATAACTCAATTGTAATCGTATCACGGCGAGTTGCAAAATCCTTTAATTTTAACGAATTGCGCTTATACCTCAACAAGAAGTACTAGATTAACTTCAATCAACGTGACTGATATATTCGAAAAAATGAACGAAATGTCAATGAATAAGTTCTTCGCTGTATCCATTTTTTACAAACTGACGTATCTGTATAGATTCAATCACATTCAATAATTTAAGAACATTAAAGCTCCTGTTTTCTCACGGCAGCTACATGGAATTATATCAAAAAATAGAAATAATGTGATTTTTTTCTATCTTCTTCATATAGATTGAACTCCAGATAAATCAGATTTATTTTTTTCATTTTTTTCCCAGCGCACGCTCAATATCTTAGAATACATTTTAATATTATTAAATTTTTATATATATATATATATATTTAATATTATATTTTATATATTTGTTTCGTCTGAGAAGTGTAATTTTCACATTTAAGCAAATGTATGAATATTAATTTATAATGTATCAATGTATATTGCGAGAGAAAGAAAATCACATATAATTTCTAAGCTTTGATCTCAATAATTCAATTTCGCAGCGGGAGAAAGCGGAAGCTTTAAAAGAATATTTTTATGAAAAATGGGCAAAGAGTAAAAATATCTTGATGCAGTTAGCAACATGATTAGCAAAATCGAATTTTATTAAAGTAAACTAGTAAAGTAGGCGTATGTTTTTGTACGTGCACATGTGTAGAGATGATGTACATATATAAGTAAATATATATTATACAAAATTTATTATATATACATTAAGTTACAGCTATTATGTACAATAATGTCCGGGGATAAAATATAACAACATATTTTGGCAAATACTTTCTCTCTTTTTTTTTCTCTCCAGTTGTCCTTTTAGCGTTTCTTCACGCTTATAAGAGTAACGATTGCCAAAAATTAGTGCGATCCATAATAAAGATATATTTTATAGATTTCACACCAGCTATCATTTGTAAATATTCCTTTCTCTTATTTAGATTTTAAAGCTAATTCTTACGGATTATACCAATCGAGGAACAATAACGAGAATGACATCACCAGGAGGAAGAAGAGACTCCACACTCTGAGACCGGCGTTCCGTTGGATCGCCTGACGGATCTGTTCGTTTGCCTCTTTCACATTTTCCGTCGAACCGACTACCGTCGTCATCAGCCTGTCGAGATCCTTGTCTTGATCCAGAACCTTCTCCGTGAAGATCTCCTGAAGCTCGGCGATGTGCACCACTTTGCTCTCGATCTGTTTGACTTCCTCCGTCATCATGTTTAATTCATTATACAGCTGCTCGTTCTCAGACTCGAACATCTGGACGTCCTCGGCCGATAATTCTTCTTCGTATGTCAATGTATTGACATCTCCGTTGATCTCCTGGATCTTCATTGGACTCGAGTCGCTCGAATCATTTCTGACATCATGATCCATGGATTTCTCCGTGTTCAGTGCCGATTTTATGGCTCCTGTTGCTAATGGCTGATTGACGGTTTTACAATCTGTCTGTAGCTTGGCGATCTTTCGCATCTCCATAGTCCTCTTTACCCGCATCGCCTTCTGCTCAGAATATATCTTGCAGACATTCTTTAGATAGTCCTCTATCAGCAGCAGCATGATTTCGCGGTGCTCGACATTTTGCTGAGTGACGTTTTGCTCCGTGGACGCTGCGACTTCCCGCTTCAGATCCTTAACCAGTTGCGAGCAGGTGCTCATTATTCGCTGTGCGCCCAGATCGATCTCATCACGCTCCGCATCTGTCATATGTGGTGCGGTAGACAAGTAATTGGAGAAGTTCAGATAGGCCTTGCGGTTCTCCAACAAGAACTCGCGCAACTTAGAAATCTGCACAACCACTCCCTGCGCTTTCACGCAGAAGGTACTTTTGCTCCTGGCCTTCCGTGGCTGACCATCCGCTGTCGGCGTGCCAAGGTCCTTGTTGCGCAAATTCACCGCCTTCACACTGGCCTTGAACAACGCACTCACGTCCATCGCTGCGATTTCTCATGAGATCTCGTCAAGCTTCCGCCGACGAAGTCCCTCCGGCGCGAATAGTGATCATTCTAGAAACATGTATTCGAAATGTGTATTTGAGATGCCAAAAGCAAAAGTCGCATATGTTCGCGATCGAGGCTGAATGAAAAACTGAAAATATTAAAAAAAATGATAATTTTCTGATAATTCACCTAATCTTCCTCTGTCAGAGCTGTATTTAACATATTTATATAAATGCGCTGCTCTTACATTAACGTGCCAACGACCGTGATATCATTCATAATCGCACAACGAGGTAAATTTACAATCTGTGTGCGCTCCTTTACTAAGCAAATTAGTACAATAACAAACGGTTATAATAGTCAATTTTGTAAACATCTGTCATATGCGAACTCCTAAAGAGCAAACAGAAATGAGGTTATGTACGTTCACATGAATGTATTTGTTCGAGGTGTGTGAAAAGTGCAATTTTAATGAAAATAAAAAAGATATCTCAAATTATATTTAATAAAAAATAGGATAATAAATTAATACTAATAATAGGATAATTAATTAAAAATAAAATCAAAGTCTCATAATTAAAAAAAAGCAATACTTTGTATTTCATATCTTTAAAATATTATTTTATTATGTCTCTTGACAATATTGAAAGATACTTATTAGATTCGGAAAAATAAACGGAGACCGACTGGATTTGAACTCGGGATCCCTCGCCTACTATCCAAGACACTTGATCTGCACGACCGCGACGGCTCCTCTCTGTTAGCTGTTTATATTCTGAATTTCTTTCATGACCCCTTACGGTTGTCTAATTCTTACAATATTATATAAGATACAGATGTCATTATGAGAGATACGATCAATAATACTGATAATCAATTATAAATTTTACATTTTTTTATTAATTATGATTAGCTTAAATTGCATTTAATTAGAATCTTAATTAATATTTATCACATTAAACTACACGTTGCGAATCACTAACATTATCAGCAGGTTGAAAGTCAGCCAAGAAAACATTGTATTGATCCATGATATTTAAATCTGTCACTTCATTAGTCTTCTCGTCGTATTGTGAACCAACTGTCCATAAAGTTTCCAAGTCGTAATATTGTCTGGCAGAATGTGAGAAGATATGCAAAGCAATATTTCCTACAACATAGATCATATTCAATTTAATATACTGTGTCAAGAGAATGTATCAAATTTGTTAAGAATAAATTTTGATGAAAAGGTTACAGATTTAATTAATAAACAATAATATAAACAATAATGTTTAATGGCAGAAATACAATAAAATCTATTCACAAAATATTTCCAACTCAGAAAAATATTGAAATCCTACCTAAATCCAAAGCCATCCAATCTTTGGAGTTCTCTCCTTCAATTTTGGGTATCTTATCAGTTGGATATCTTTTCAATTTATAAACCTTGCGTATAAAAGTGGCTAGAGCATTCATATGTTTTTGCGAATTTCCACTCACAACAACAATGTAATCCACATAAGCATACTCTTTGGAAACTGAAGCGACAAAGATGTTCTTAGCCTTGTCTCGCTCCAGTAATGTGACGAGATCCTTGATATCAAATACTCCAGAAGTGCCGTCTAATGCATACATAATTCGATTATTACTAAATTCATAATTTGATCATTTATTAAATTTTATATTTTTATTAAATGCATATATATATATATATGTGTGTATGTGTATATATATATATATATATATATATATATATACATATATATATGTGTATATATATATGTATATATACACACATACACACACACTTTATTATATAATACATATATATCAACTATATATATTAATGTATATAATAATCATATTAAATCTAAATATCATATTCATTAGATTTACTTAAATGTCTTATTTAATAACACAGTTACAAAAAGATGATACAACCTCCCTCTGATACTCACGGTCCAGATTAATATCAGCATAAGGATTTTGAACCTTCTCTTGTTTATTCAGCTCTTCGAGAAGGATCTTTTGCTGCTCCTCACTCACATCGAAGATTATATCCGCGTCCTTGTCATGAAACATCTTATATTTTGTGTTCCATAACGGTTCAATCGCGAGGTTATGATCCTCGTCCTTGTTCGCATCCTCGTTTCCATCGCTGTGATTCTTTCCCACGTTGCTCGAGAACCTCCTCGCTAATTTGAGTCGCGAATACGTGCGACTACTGCCGAGAAATTCACGCGACAGTTGCTGCGCGCGGATCAGATTCCTCAAGATGCACGAACGCATGCTGAACTCAAAAAGTTAGGTTAAGTCTTTCTTTGGAGAAAAAACTATGCACAGACGACGTTCAATCTCTATTTTTAATTCCTGTGGAATCATTCCATATTATCTTTATTCGTTTTAAGTTACATTTGTTTCTTTATAAATAAACTGTGCAGATTAGACATTAGGCACCAAAAATTTAGTCTTGATTGAAAAACGCCTGTTATTTCTGGTGTATTATTCTTTAACTTTATTTATTAATTTTAATAAAAAAGTTCTATTAAAGCTTATGAAAAAAATATTTTGAATCAAGAATTGATATATTTTAATATAAATTCAATTTAATATAAATTTACATTGTAATTTCAAAATTAAATTATAATTAGGGAGGGAAAATTGAAAAACAACAGGTGATGAGATGGAAGTCTATGTTTTCTCTTGAATAGTTTATGTATTTAACCAAACAAGATTCGTGTGTACAAAATTCTCTCTGTACGAAAAACATGTCCACTGAAGATTCACCTCCTTGAGATAAATTTTTATTCAGCTAGGAGTGTTTGTCAAATGGTGAAACATCATAGGTCTGTTCCTCCCACGGCTAAAACATTTCATAGTGATTAAGAATTAAAAGATCAATCTCTATATTACAGGTGGTATTTATAGTATTCACAATCAGTTTTTATATTTAAAATCATGTTAAGATTACATCTCAATCAATAAGCTATGTAAGATAACTTAAGATGATCTTAAATTTAAAAACAGATTATAAATATTTATGACAAACTATAAAACTTAAAAACTGTTTACACGTACAGAGACTGGTGGGATGCAGAGGAGCCACTTATTTAGACCTCGCGCGCATCTTCCTCCTCTTACGCTTTAGCCTCCGCATCCTCTTCTTACGCCACTGCAAATTAAACACACGTTAACTTTCTCTTAAATTTAATACTATAATGAATTATTATTTATACGTAGTAGATTGATATCACTCCGAATTGGTTCCCACAATGCAAGTTGAGGTTATGTTCAGCGAATCGATTAAAAATAGAAACAAAGCGTGTAAGATGGTTAAAAAAAAAATATATATATATATATATATATAAAACAGCAGACTCAAGTCAATTATCAAGTTCATTAGTATATGTAAAACTTTTTTCGTAATGGTATGATCTCAACAAGTTAGATCATCATGCATAAATGCAAGGTCTATCATGCTCGGAGACTCATGCATTTTGCGTAGCACATGTTCAAAGAGCATGTTAATTATCACCGGTAATCTCTGGCGGCTTACCTTAGCTCTCATTTCGTAGTTTAGACGATCCTAGATCACTCCGGAATCGCCAGATCACTTTGGATTTCGAGTCAACCTCCTCCGAGAGTTTCTCAAAGTAAAATGAACGACACGTGAAGAGACGGAAAACGAATCGTGCGCATGCACGAACAACCGCGAGCGTGAACGTCAGTTCGACCAACTGCACATAATGCAATTTTTTGAAAAATATTTCGAACACGTTGATTGGATAATAAAATAGAGAATTTTTGATGACTTAAAAATTTTACTATTTCATCCAATCAACATAAAGTCTGTTTCTTTAATTTTTTTTTTACACGCATTTTTTTCTCTCTATCTCTTCATTTTAGAGAAACAAAGAAAAGCTGCAAAAAATGCAAACAAATGAAATAAATACAAGAAATTCAGCTAAAAACAGCACAAAACACCTACGTTCAAAAAATTTAATGTGCGAAATGAAATTCTAGCGATTGAACTGTTCAAGCTTCCAGAAATTTTTTATTTCAATCACTCAATATAATCAATCAATAAACATATTTGGCAATTGCTAAAAATTTTCTACACTGAAAATTGAATAAGCTGAGAATTTAATAATCTATTTCAGCACAGAAAACTTTCGATAATTGCAAAATATACATTTCTTTTGCATCATTCTTTTTCTTCTCTAAGTGTCGATCCACAATAGGTGATTTAAGCTTTAGGAAGTGAGAAATTGACCAATTATAATCGAATATGAAAAGAATAATCGACTATGATTGGTCAATTTCTTACGACTTAAAGATTAAATACTTATTGTGGACCGACACTTATTTATTCTTATCATATTCGATTATAATTGGTCAATTTTTTATTTCTTAAAGCTTAAATCACCTATTGTGGACCGACACTAAAAAGATAAAAAGATGAATAGTGCAGGAAGTTCAGCTGAAAAGAACAGATCTCTGTTCCGCCGTTCCGCGGAACGGTCGTTCCCAGTGCCACGTTCCGTGTCTGTGTTTTCCCGCCCGTTTAAAGCCGGTCCCGCCAAAAGTGCCGTCGCAGCAAGGATGTAAACGCGGCGTGGACGCGATAAGTGACGTGTCCCATCGGGACAAATCAGACAAATAATCGGTACTTACATAAACGGGCATTAATCAGCGATGTACACGGCATATACCCTTTGACGAAATAACTTTCGATAATACGCGCGGTAATAGCATGTGCAACAGGTCGCGGTTTTGATCTCACGAGGAGTCACGGTGTGAGACGGAAAATCAATCCCCGCGTGGAAAATAACCGACGCGGTATAAATTTCGCCGAGTCTACATAAATTTCCCCTTCTGGGAAGAGGTCGTTGATCTGCTGTCGCGCTTTCTGCAATTCGACAATAATTCCGATTTAAGAATCATCGATGAAAACGATGTCAGCCGCACAGCTCACCATTCCTTTTCCCGTGCGGAAGAAATGTAATTTTTACGGTCGCAAAGAGGAGGTGAAGGAGGATTTTACGAATGCAACGGCTAGACGCACGCCTGGGACATCAAGGTACGTTCCAGTCGTGAAAAAGATCGTCACTTTAACCAGCAGCGAATCCGAGTCCGATTCCGATATTGAGAACACGACGAAGGTAATTAACGAGAGGAAGATCGAAAGCGCAGGCAGCACGCCACGACGACGAAAGTGCAACGAATCGGATGGTAATTTTATTCAGAACACGTTATCTTATTATTTCGTTTAAAAATTACAATAAACAATTATTTTAGAGACAGATTGTTTATATATGTTCTTTTCTTGTACCTTGTGATAATTACATGTATACAATTCTATTTCATAATTACTGTAGATGTTTATCTTATTTATTGTTGATGGATATTCTATGAATTTGTTATCAAAGTACAATAAACTTTTTTTTTTATTTCAGAGGAACGGTCTGGTACTCCACCTAAACAGAGAAGGGACAAGCTATACCGGCAGTCTTCCTTGACGCCATCTACTCTTTTGAATAAATTAGATTTGTCCTCTGAGACGGAAGGCAGATTGAATCCCAGGCAATTATTTGATTCTTGTTTTTCCGAGGAAGAAGATGAGATAGCTCTGAAGCCATTATGTGGATTTAACAAATATCAAAATGCACGTAAAGCATTGCATAGTTCCACGACAGAAGATTTACCTGGAAGGGAAGAGGAATTAGCTAGACTACAGAAATATCTTCTGGAACATCTAAATCAAGGAATGTCGAGTTCTATGTATATCTCTGGTCCACCAGGCACTGGCAAAACTGCGAGTTTATCCAAGCTTATGCAACTGCCAGATGTGAAATCAAAATTAAAGGTGGTTTACATCAATTGCACTAGCATGAAATCTGCGGCTGCCATTTATGCAAAGATAATTCAAGAGCTGTCCATACCTATCACTACAAAGTCAGGAAAGAACAACAAAATTATTATAGAAAAGTATTTGATGTCTAAGCATAAGACATTGCTCTTGGTACTGGATGAGATAGATCAATTGGAGAGCCGAAAACAATCCGTATTGTATTCCATATTCGAATGGCCATCGATACCAAATTCCAAGCTGATTCTCATCGGGATCGCTAACGCTTTGGATCTGACCGACAGGATACTACCCAGATTACAGGCCAAGTGTGAATTGAAGCCGACATTGATGCATTTTGCACCATATACCAAGCAACAAATATTCGACATAATATCTACAAGACTAAATCAAGCAAATGCGGCCAGCATTTTCACTCCGTCCGCGATACATTTGCTCGCGGGCAAGGTAGCTGCGATCTCTGGTGATATCAGGAAAGCTTTAGACATTAGCAGAAGGGTAATAGAACTGGCTGAGTCCCATCAAGTGGCACAAGTGCTGCGTCCGACAAATGACAATGGTAATTTTTATGAAACATCAAAGATTAATATATTGTTACATAATATATTAATATAAGTTATATTAGTAAAATTAGGATAATTAATATAAATAATTGAAGGATATGCATTGTACAAGCTTAAGTGCTATTTTTAATTTAGATACCAATGTAGAAGCTTTGAAGAAGGAGACAGAGACAATAGAGAAGCCAGTCGACATGAAGGAAGTAGTTACGGTTCTGAATGGAGTTTATGGAGGGACACAGAATCTTGATAAAGAACAGGACACATTTCCTCTTCAGCAAAAATTACTGATGTGCTCTCTATTACTTATCCTCAATAAAGGAAGAAACAAGGATATCACTATTGGAAAAGTAAGCTCATCAAAATTATACATTATAGTTAAATATATAAATAAAAAATTGTAATTAATCCAATTATTAAACTTAATTTATATAAATCATATTATTGTTGTGATCTTTTTTAAATGATACTTTATCCATTTCAGTTGCATGAAGTTTACAAAAAGGTTTGCAAGAAACGCAATATATCCGCCGTTGACATTTCCGAATTCGTGAATATGTGCTCGCTAGTAGAGACCAGAGGTATCCTGCGAGTCGTAGGCAAAAAAGAGGCACGTTTGTGCAAAGTAAATCTGCAATGGGATCAAGAAGAATTGGACGCGGCTTTGCAGGACAAGGAGATGATGGCCGATATAATCAACGATCCAAGTTGTTTGTAAAATAATGAAAAGAAATATTTAAATTTTAATGTTATGCCGTTTTGTTACACGTAATTTATTTTATATATAATACTTTTTAAGTTTTGTATATATTATAGTGTGAGCGTTTTAGTTATTACCAATATTGCGACTGTTTATATCACCATCGGTTTTCTATCTAGCTCTTATTTTAGTCACGTTTTAACATTGGATTCCAACAAGAATGATTGGACACAATTATCATATCACATTGTATTGAGACTGATCATATTTTATATAATATTGAATCTTAAAATTTACGCTGAATGAACATTCTAAGAACGTCTGCATTATAGAATGAAAGATTATATTTTTTAATTGCAAATAAATTTTTTAATATATAGTTTATGAATGTATTCGTGTACACGTTTCCATACTTTTAAAACTTTATAAATTCATATTTAACAGAAAGTTTTTATGTATTTAATTCAAAATGGAATCTTTGAACGTGAAGATAAAAATTATTAATAGTTTCATTTTTTGGATATACGCTTTTACGATAAAATTTATAGAGAAAAAAATATTAAAATAATCCAATAGAATATGTAAAAAGAAAACATGCGAAAAAAATGTTCTCTATCTAAAAAAGAATAGGAATTCATTTAAAAGAACGGACCTAGTAGTATCTTATGTACGATACTATAAAATCAGTTTGGAAATAATGTTAGGTTAGAATTAGATTAAGTTAGGTGTCCTCGGCACTGTTTACAGTGCACACAAACAGCAGAAAAATGACATAATCAGAGCTTTATTTTAAAAGATAAATCGTAGAATTTCATATGAATCTCAAGATTCTCAAGGATGATATATTTCGGGACACTTTTCCCTAGGATATTTCTGACCTTGGCTTTAGGTTTAGTGTTTGTATTATTCTTCTGCGAATATCTCATATATTACATAGTGCTTATACAGGTGAACTTCTGCATTATCTGAAAACTTGTAAGAATATAAAATCTTGAAAACTCTTAAAAGTCGATTTGATTCTCAGTGCGAATGGCCTACTCTGGATCCTCGAAAGGAGGATCCTGCTTTACACAGGGAAGTAACGGATAGACCTGTCACAGCTATGTTTATAGCAGACACTCATTTATTAGGTTCCAGAGAAGGCCACTGGTTTGATAAACTACGAAGGTTTGTATATGATCAAATCTGTAATTTTCATTAATTGAATTATATTGAAGATCTTTTAAGATATTTGTATCTATTATTTATAGAGAATGGCAAATGTATAGAACATTTCAAACTATGATGACACTACACCAACCAGATATGATTTTTATATTAGGTGTGTAATGTTTGTGCCATTGTTTGTGTCTTCTTGCTTTTTTATTATTTTATAATATTCATCAGGTGACATTTTTGACGAGGGACAATGGTGTGGATCCATGGAGTTTGAATACTATATTAAGAGATTCCATTCCTTATTTTATGTGCCGAAAGATACACACCTTTATGTCGTAGCTGGAAATCATGACATGGGATTCCATTACGGTATGAAAATGTATCATTGAAATAATATTCAATATAATTTCTGCTTTGCAGCAATTTTGAATATGAACATATTTTATTATTTTAATTACATTTCTCATGTAATTAAATCTCTGAAATATTATTTCAGCAATCACACCCTATCGTAATCAGCGTTTTATTAATGGCTTGAAAAGTCCGAGCGTGCGACGGCTGAGTTTAAGAGACAATCATTTTGTGCTAATCAATAGCATGGCGTTAGAAGGAGATGGTTGTTTTCTATGCCGACCGACTGAAATCACAGTGAACAAAATAGCTAGTGAGCTATCATCTGTGCACTTTCGTATGATCTTTTTGTAATTGATTAATCTTAAATTGTTTGTATGTATATCATATTTGCAGAGGATTTAAAGTGTGCGAGGAGACTCAACGATGACTGTCGCAACGCAAGCACGATTTCCAGATATAGTAGGCCTATATTGCTGCAAGTCAGTCCTTCCGTCATGCATCGTAATTCATAAATGAGATATAATTTTCACAAATAATATAAAAACTAAAAATTTCCAAAGAATCGCATAATTAACTTAGATCAGACGAAAATTCTACTTAAGAATATAAAAAAATTGTTCCATTTCTAGCATTATCCGATGTACCGAGAATCTGATGAGATCTGCAATGAATTGGATCAGGCTCCGGACGAGTTAAAGGCCATCAAGTTTCGAGAACGTTGGGAATGCTTGTCAAAGGAAGCGTCGGAACAGGTACGTAATTTCGCTGATTTTGCTAGTCGATATTAATACGAAATTTGACTTGTTTTATAGCTTTTAGATATACTAAATCCGCGACTGATCGTCGCCGGCCACACTCATCACGGTTGTAGAAAGATACATCGGGATGACATCCTGGAATTCACGATTCCGTCCTTCAGTTGGCGCAATAAAAACAATCCGTCTCTCCTGATGGTAAATCTCAACTTTGATACTTCGACATTAAGAGTTAACATCTCACTTTTGAGAATATTTATAATTAAAAAAAATAAAGTGAAAAAATACACAAATATTGTTAATAATTTAAGGAGTATTATGTGCCAAAAATAATAATGGTGATAAATAATATTTCTCAAATTTCTTATCGAATTTCGAGACATTAAATTATCAACTGTTTAATGATTGACGATATTGTACATTGAGATCTTCAAAGGAACAATTAATTTAACACGCCTAAATAGAATTTTATCATTAAAATCGGCCTTTTCGATAGAATTAATTATCCTTGTTGAGACACAATATATCTGCAAATTATGTCTTTTTCAGGGTACTTTTACCCCCACCAATTATTCCGTTTCCAAGTGCTACATGCCCGTGGAATCTACTGTAATTATCATTTATAAAATTAGTCTCCCATGCATAGTGATATATCTACTTGTAAAACTCAGGCCAAGGCGACACACGTACTCGCGCTTGAAGATGCCCTGACGAAAAGAGTTACTTTTGTGACATATTCAAACACGAACGAGTGTGCAATAATTCTATATATACAATGCGATTTATGGAGACTATAATTCTCGAAATTAGGACATATCTGTATACACTTCGTACACGCTATTCATTATTTACAATAGTCATAATATAAAATACTTTGTGATAATGTAATTGTACCGATGTTATTCTCGATGTATATAGAACCCTATTACATGAAACCCGAAACACGCTCACTAAAAGATTTTATATGTAAGAAGTATGTAATTTTACATAAAAGTCACAAATAAAGTTAATATTATACAAATTGAATCTCAACGAAACTGGAAGTTTGCAATAACGATGCTTGAAAAGCTAAAAAAATAAAAATATGCACTCGTACGAGTAAAGTAAATACATAAACTTTATATTATTACTCATATACACTGTGTACTGCGCTTATTGTTATTATAATAATGATCAGCCAAGACAGTTGCGAAACTGCGTATTGTATTCTTACATTAAAGGAAACGTTAACACTTTAGACACTGGCTCATTTTATCGGCTATATAATACTTTCGCACATTGACTGTTACTAATATCACATCACTTGAATATTTTTTACAGAGTTTCTTGTCGCTTCTCGACAAGAAACATTATTGATATAGCCAACGCCCGACTGTTCGTGGATTAAATTATCTTTTCGTGTTTATATCGTAAGTACACACGGAGGAAAAAATCTTGTAACTAAAGATCATACAAAATAAAATAAATTTATTATACATTGGAGCTCCACATTCGCGCCTCTCTTTCCCATATTTCGTACATACTCAAAAATATAAATATAAAATTACTTTTTTTTTAAAAACTTAGCAGAAATAAGAGTGATTTCCGCGATGTGTTTCTTTGGATAAAGATATTAGATAAACCTCTATCGCAAATTCCATTCTAAAATAAAATAAAGAAAAGGAAGAAATACCTTTTTGGAAATTTACTTCTTTTTTTTCATGTTATTTCAAAATGCTTTTCAAGAAAAAAAGATTTTAATATATTTCTCTTTTCTATTGCTTTACTTTTCATATTCATAATAATTTTGCAAATTTTGCAGCGAACATGGAGCTTACATTGTACTTGTTATGACGGATGCAAAGATAAACACGTTAGAAATCTTACGTTAATATATAAAATATTCGTACACGTCAATCGTAAAATCATGTGCAAATGTTCGCAGTTCCAAAATCCCGTGGAAGATGAGATGCATCCGTTTAGTTTTACTTATTATTTCTATACGATACGAAAACTAGAGAGTTCTTTGTCTCTCTCTCACTCTTTCTTTATTCGCTCATTCTCTCTCTCTCTCTCTCTCTCTCTCTCTCTCGGTTAAATTAAAAATCTAAATTTATTCGTTCGTATTTACTCTACTAATAATAATTTTGACTAGTCTATTTTAACGGCCGCGTATATCTTCCTGATGAAAGCGTATGCAGCGAAGAAACCGATTGTGCCAGTCAATAACCAGAATGTAAGGACCATTAATGCAGTATAGCCGAAATACATGAGAGTCGGTACTAACTCGGTAATTTTCAATTTGGTGACGAAGTAAAAGATGGAATACGCCAACACATAGACAGCCGAACCACCGCTCACGATGAAACTACGCCACCACCATCTGTAATCCTGGAATTAAAACATCAAAACGAAAACAAAAATATTAGACACAAAAATTTTACAAGTGAAAAAAGCACGTAAACAACGTTTCTTTAAAATTTTCTTTAAAAAAATCTTTAAAATATCTTTAAAAAAAATTAAAGTTTTTTTTTTAATATTAAATGTCAAATCAAAGAAAAATCTTTTTGAGATATTTTCTTGTTATACTTACTTCGCCACATAATTGGAAGTAGACCATGACTATCGATATTTGCGAACATGAAATTACGAGGATACAGAAAACCAGAAATAGAAATCCGAAAAGATAATAAAATTGATTTTCCCAGAGTGCAGTCAAAATGAAGAAAAGTTCTATAAATACCGCGCCAAATGGTAGAATTCCAGCCATTAGCATGCTGTAAGCGGTGTAACATTATCCTTATTAACATTGAACAATAAGAAATTATTTATTAACTTGAATTATATATTAACTTTAAAAAGATAATGTATTATAAATTCCGTCATCAAACGTACCTCAGTACTAAATTCATATACCAAATTTGATCAGGAACTTGTCTCGGGATTTGATTTGTTCTAACTGGATGCGTAAAAGGCTGTTTACGGAAACCAAAGAAATAACCGAGATAAACGAGAGGCAGCGAGATGCCAAACCAGAGACATAGCAAGGCCACCATTGTGGTAAAAGGGACCGCACCGGAACTATGCTTTCCCCATATAAAGAAATTTAGGAAGAAACACGTTGTGAAGACAATACCCGGATAAAACGTCGCCGTCTGCAATAATTAACATTGTTTAAAAACTATAATGTAGACATTTCATTAATTAAAAAATCATTATAAAAAATATAGTTACAATTAAAAATAAAAATTAACAAAAAAATAATTGAAGAAATAGAAATATAGGAATATATATATATATATATATATATATATATATATATATATATATATATATATATATATATATATATATATATATATATATATATATATATATATATATATATATATATATATATATATATATATATAATAAAATAATA